AAAGGCATCAGGTATTTTAATCAAAAGTGAACTTTGTCGAAAATGTTCCAAATTTCGCATGCAGTTTTGTTCAGGTACTGTATGTTAAGCAATGTCCCATAATTTTCGCGCGAAAGTTCGCTTCATTTTTGAGATATTGCATATGCAATAAACCACTCGGTTTTCCCAACCTGTGTGCCTTTTTTGCATATGTTATTTCTCGAGAATGAAGAGCAATGCAGCAAAAAAACCTTCAGAGCAATGTTTTTCAGGTGAAACGAAGCCCACATGCCAAAATTCAGCTAGTTTTGAGCACTTTCAAAAATGGCCGAAAAATCCAGGGGACGTTCTTGCACATGGCCTTTCAATTGTGATATTATAGACAATAAATAAAGAAGACAGATCTCCAAGTTTAAGATGTGTGCGTTGTCCCAAAGTTGAGATATTTGTCGTGATGTTCTGCGCAAAATTGTAGAGCCTTGTATGAAGCCACCATGTTGGAGGACCTCCTTAGTCCTCTAATAATTATGGTGGCTGGAAAATAGTGTAAACATCTGGAACTTACTTTGGCGATCTAGACAACTGATTATCTGAACTGAACCAAAAAACATTTCCAAAAGCACTTTTCCTAAATAAATACTTTAACTCCTAACATGGCTAAAAATCACGAGATAAGTGTATATTTTTCAACAAAGGCAACTTTAGCTTATGTCACACACCGAAATTCAAAATGCGTTGGTTTCCAAACGAAAGACGCTATTGAGCTGGAAGGTTGTAAACAGATATAAATTTAGTACCTTTTATGCCTGATGAAGATAAAACCTTTAGGGGCTCTTTAGTTTTGGATTTGAGAATTTGATGACGCCATGTGCGCACACTCTATAGACTAAGTGAAACACTTGCGTCTGCGGTACATAAATAAAACATTAATAATTTCGTCCCCACTAACTTATATACAAGTAGCTCAGTGTGATAAGTGCCAGCTTGCCATGCGAGACACCTGGAGTTCAAATCCCAATGGTGACTATTGATTGTTTCCCCTTTTCCTTTTCCATGTGCACATCGGAATGCGTGAACTGCAAGGGCAGAACCAGCGCATGCCCATGGGAAAAACTGGATGAAACCGTGCAGTATCATGCTGTGTCAAAAACGTTTTCAGCAACCTTCTGATGATTTTAATCTGCTCAGTGTGTTTTGATAAGGTTTCAAATAAAAATCTCTTTGGTTTTGTGGTCTAATACTGAACAATACAAGGGAATACTGAAGAAAACAAAGACAAACAAGAGCATGAAGATACAGTCATTGAAGAACGCATGATTCGCCGGGTTTCGTCTTGGTCTCATTTTGTGCTTCGTTTGTTCCTGAGATGAATCCATAGGCAAACCTCATGCACTGCCTGTGCATCCACCCCATGAAACCCACGGCTGATGTACATACATGTATGATTGCAGTTAAAGAGGCTATTCAGCAAAAAGTTCATGTAGCGTGTAGGTTAGAATGACTGGGTTTTTCCTCCAGTCACATTTTTGTTCAATTTGTTTTTAGCTTAAATTAATGCTTCATATGTTGAATAATAAATTAGTCTATGAAGTATGCATCCTGAAGATAACAAAGGTGACAAACAATTTGACAAAACAGTGGTGACCCTCATTTACAATGATTATTTAACAAATACATGTATCCATTAGTGTAGGTTTATGTGTGAGAGGTCACAACTAACTAGTGGAGAAAATTGGACTTCATGCCATAAACAAAAGTGCACAAAAATTATTGAACTTTAATCTTTATCCAGGCCAGCTTTCATAATTCACACAAACTGGGAGTTGTGAGGAAAAGAAAAGTCCTGAATATTTCATGTGAAAGCAATTTTTTTTCAGAAATGTTAGCCATAAAACTAAAAGAAAATCTCCAAGAGTAAGAGACCGCATGGGAACATTTACCTTATTCTCACTAAATTTCATAATTTTCACGACTTTGGAAAAATCATGAAATTTAATACTCGCGAAAGACAGGACATGCGAAAATTAAAATCGTGAAATTTAATGCCTAAAATCTCGCTTGTGCAGTTGTCAAACAGAACATGACAAGAACAAAGTTTATCAGAGTGTAAATATACAGTACTGCTCAAAAGTAAGTTACCACCTCTCGTCTCGAGAGATGAGAGTCTTGTCTCGTGAGAACCACTGAAGCGTATATTTTGGAATAAATTACAAGCAGTTAGCTTGCGAGAAAACGATTAATTTCTCGTGACGCGGTGTAGTTTACCCCGTGAGAGCATCTGGTTTTGTGGGCTCTTGTTTTACACGCTGCTTCAAGGGAGCCAACTTTAACTTACAAGCGAAAAACTTAAATGAAAGTGATGAAAAATGAACATCAAAGAGGTTTGCCAAAACTCAAGTTCGGTGGTTGCTTTAATTATTTCATTGCAGCCTGTTGACTTTGCATAAATATGAACGACAGCTTTTAAGTGGAAACTTGCTTCGCAAGACCCAATACTATCATTGAAAATGAAGAAAGTGAATGGAAACATTGTTTTGTATTCTCAAATCAAGACATTGGTGAAAGTGCTTGAGTAATCGATGAGTAAAGTGTCAACAGTCTCCGGATTATTTTTACTTTGTACGTAGTGAATTTGCATAAGCGTGTGTGTCCTTTGAACTCACTTTTGAATTGTAAAACCGTTGTTTTCATATATAAAATTGAATGTAAACAATCTGAAAAATCGCAATATTAACCAACGGAAAGAGAACTTTGGTAAATCTGTACATGTTTCGTCTGACAGCAGGAAAGGAAGTGAATTTTTGATAATATAACAAATCGAAAATGTGACTTAATGCACGCGTCCCTTGCCAAAATAACAAACGCATGTGGCAGAAGCGGCAGGTATATTTTGCAGGTTGAAATTTAATAACAGGAAAACCGCTGGCACTTAAAAGAAATGTACAGGTGGTAGACTTACCATGACTGTTACACGACACTGTTTACAATCGCTCTGTAAGGTGGCTTCCACCTAAGTGCCAAACCAGCCAAAGCGATGGGAGGAGTATATTCCTATAATTTTAAGCCTGCAATGAATTATCGTTTTTGAAGAAACTTCTGAAGTATCATCTGAAATATCTGCAGAATTTGGTTTCTCCCCTGTGTGTACCAAAATGAAAGCACACTGAGCTTGTGCTAGTATATTCCATTGGTTAAAATCTTAAAACTTACATTATTTCATTTCTATATTTATTTGCTTCATTTATGATGGCAATCTTCTGTTGTTGAGGGAAGACCCGAGCCAAATCTGGAATTGATGGAAACATCAGTGGAGCAGCCATCCAGATGGCTTTGAAGAGATTTCACTGGTCTCATGTGATCAGCGTGTCGATCGATAAGTACTTATACCGGAGCGATTGTGTTTTCACTATGTGAAAGACGTGAACTACTTTATGTAAGAACCTCTGACGAGTATACAGGTTATAAATTATTTTTAGTGCCAGCGGTTTTCCAGTTATAATTGAGTTTCAACGTGCAACCTGCAACCTGGAAAATATACCTGCTGTAGCAGAAGTGTCCAAAGAATTGGAAGGTGAAATGGGATGCAGAAGACGTCAGTTTGAATACTGAAAGTTATGTTGATCTTAATTTCCTTGTTAAACGCCCTTACCAAGAAAGTCAAAGTCTGTTGAGCGATTGATAGAAAGATTGTGATCTTTTGGTCAAATTAGTTGTATTGATGTTGACTTTGCCTACATGTACATTGATCGATAAAAGGCTTTTGGAGAACCCTACAAACAAAGAGAAACGTTTCAAAAATGAAATGGCTTTAAAGGAGTTTTTAATAGCAAATGCTGCAAGATAAGCTGTGTCACGGAACTCGCTTAGCTGCAAAGTTAGTAACGCACGTCGATCAGCGATCGAAACACAGTTATGACAATTGTGAACCGCTCGAAGGCCAAGAAAAGTCCTGAAGGGTCCGTGTTTGCTTCTAAACATGACACTATTAACCTTTCTTTCATGTATACAGCACCTTTCCACTGAAGTGAAGTAAATGACTTCATTAATCGCGGTGTTTGCTTGGCGAAAGAAGCCGCTGGGATCGATCAGCAAAAGAAACAATTTCAGCGTACAGGTCTAGACACAGTGGAAGTCATGAATGATATGTTTTCGATTGAAAACTGAAAAATTTGCAGCAAATACATTCACAGATACCATTCTCAAGCCATGTGGGTTGAAAATTTCTGGAGTTACATCTTTTATGAACATAGTAAACATTGGAAATCCGGCGCAGGTGCTCACAAGCAAAGCTTCGTCAGATCGCGCAAAGTTTTGCTGTGTTGTTGCTGCATTGTTTGCTTTACAATAGGCTATTAAAATCTTGCGAGAAGTTCAGGCAGCCGTACTTACAGTTTTTTAAAGTTCTCATGAGATGAGACTCGTCTTGCGAGATGAAAGTCTCATCTCGCAAGACGAGAATCTTGTCTCATGAGAAGATGGTAACTTACTTTTGAGCGGTACTGTACATGTAGATGTACCTATTGTGGAATACTGTACCTTATGCTTTGTCATGTTTGCTATCGTTTACAATGATGATCAATGATTTTTTCCAAGACCCCCCACACCTCTGGAAATTCCAATAAAACTTCACACATTTCTTTAAATTTTTTGATCTTACAGAACCCCCTCAACCCCCCAAGAAATTTCAATCCCTTCTGTGGGGGAGTATGGATATTTTCTGGACCTGTACAATTTACCTTTGTGGAGGTCTGTTTTAGTGCTTAAAAGTTGCAGATTTGTTTTTTCTTTGAATGCTCGGCCTTAGATTTGTCAAATTTTGTGCTTTCAAACTCGCTGCCTGTGGCCATGTTTTTCAGCACAAAGTTCGCTGGGAGATTATGACGTCAGTGCATTGTCAGACTTTCAACATGGCGGGCTGATGGCGGGTTTTTTGACCTACGTTGGGAGCATTAAAGCGTGTACAGTTTAAAGTTACAGATAAATAGGGTAGTATTTCTAATATAACACTATTTATAGCCTACCAGTATTGCGAAGACTTGAAATGCCACATTGTTGTGCATATGGCTGTAACAACGAGTCTAAGAAACAAACTGACACAGCTGGAAAAGGCGAAAACAAAGTCACGTTCCATCAGGTTCCGGAAACAGTTCAGGGGGAATTAAGAAAGAAGACGCTAATTGCAATTGGCTGGCCCAAAGAAAATTTACCAAAGTGTCCATATTTGTGTTCTCATCATTATGATCCAAGATGTTTCGATGAAAGTGTGGACCTGCGGAATAAGTTGTTGGGAGGGGCAAAATGGAAGTTGAAAGATGACACAGTTCCTATGACGTTTGCACACAAACCTGCACCGAAAGTGCGTGCCTCCAGTGTGGTGAGAGCGACCAAATGGAAGCATCAAGCGGTGAGAAGAACAGTTACTTTGCTTTGTTTGAACTGAACAAGTTCTTTTATCATGTAATTTATTAAAAGCTGAAATAAAAATATTCCATTAATGCATTATCTTGTTGTCTGTTTATTTCCTGCCTTTAACTTTCACTTAGCATTACAGCGTATGTATTTTTCTTTTGTTACCTCGCATCTATTATGAATGCTCATCTCAGTCCTCTCAAATAAGTACAGCACCAAGTTTAAATGAATATGAGGAATGCTTCAATACTTCTGCTGGTCTATGAAGATAATCTCAGGGAACTATTAAAATTGTGCCCAAAATCTGGTTCCCCAGTGATCAATGAGGAAATTGAGGAGAGACAAAATGAAGGGTTGCAATATTCTGTCGGCATAATTTGTTTAAATGGTTGTAACTTTACCTGGTAAACACAACCTTGTATTCCTGGAGATTTTTCAGTGGCATACACGTTTCAAAATTTCAGCAGTTTGCTTCTGTCATTAATTTGAAATCCACTGGAAAAGATTGCTACTATGCCTTAAGAGGAAATATGTCTTCCCTGTTATTGATGCTTGCTGGAAGAAAGAACAAAACAATCTAATTAACACTCTAAAAGACAGGGGAAGCCAGTGAAACTAGCTGGAGATAGCCGCTGTAATTCCCCAGGCCACAGTGCTACATATGGGACTCACACAATGTTGGATGTTCAAAGTGACAAGGTTGTAGACTTCACGGTTGTGTCAGTTTGTGAAGTAAAAAACTCAATGCTTTGGAAAAGAAAGGTTTTACAGAAACACTTAAAAGCATTGAGGAGGCAGGAGTGACTGTGGCAGGGGTTTCAACTGACTCTCATCCCCAAATTAAGAAATATATGAGAGAGGAACAAAAAGATAAGAAACACCATATTGATGATGGAATGCCTGCAAGAATGTCCAGAAAAAAAACTGTCGGCATCCTCAAAAAAGAAGGGCTGTGGAAAGTTGAGCCAATGGGTTCCCTCAATCACAAATCACTTTTGGTGGAGTATTAAGACTTGCCAGGGAAATGCAGAAATCCTGAAGGAGAAGTGGTTGTCAATAACAAACCATGTAGTAAATGGACATGATTTTCCAACCAACAGAGTGTTCAAAAAAATGCCAGCATAATGCTCTCATTGAAAGCGGGCGACGAAAAAAGTGGCTCACTCCAGGTTCTCCACCACACAATGAATTGTTAAAAATAGCTCGACACAAGGTTGCTCAAGACTCTTCCTCATCTTACTGACTGTGTATGCACCATAGCACTACAGGCATACCACTCCCTTTACCTTACACACTTACCTAAGCATACACACTATTCCCACAAGGTGATGGAGGAAGCAACAAAGCTCACTGCTCTTGATCATAATCACAATGTGACATGACAACAGGTAAGACAATAGCATGTACTGTACAATTGTTAAAAATTTATCCTAAAAATCACACAAGTGCTCTCTCAATGTCATGTAATTTGACCTGTAGTTAATCCAGTTGTTTCCCAAATTAGAGAGTACATGTATGTACCCCTATTGTTAACTATAATGTTCTTATCTACTTTTTGAAAACACACCCATTCCCTTGGTACTCAGGGTAGCAATGCAATATTCACTTGACAATTCAGCACTTAAAGTGTCCATACCGCCTACAGGGTTTTTGTGGTTTTGGTATCTCTATAACATCTAAAAATGCCTTCAAACCAAAAAAATGAATTCAGATGCTTTTTTTTGCCATGAAATCAAGCTTTAAATTTCCCGCTTCAGCACACCCAATGAAGTTGACTGCGTAATGAAAGATTGGTGACGAATGATGTCACTTCAGGAAGGTTTCAAAGCTTCATGCTTTTATTTTGCTTGCCTGACAACCCCATTGTTTCACCAACTTCAGTTTGTTTTTTGTCGATGAAAACTCCTCACCACTACTGAAACAAGTTACCTGAACTAGCAGGATTTGGCAAGTCCTGACTTGACGTCACAACCCATTCCGAAACCCAGACTCTTTTTTTGCACTGACTCACGGTCAACTTCACTGGGTTTGGTTGAAGCGGGAACTTTAAAGCTAGATTTTAGGGCATTAACATGTCGGAATCCAGTTTCTTTTCTTAGAATACCTTTCTACACATTATAGAGATACCAAAACTACAAAAACCCTGTTGGCTGTATAGGCACTTTATAGTGAACTTTATTCCACAAGTCAATACAAAATAAAAAATGGAATTTTTGTGGCCCATGATTTGACCAAACACCTATTGGGTAGGTCCGAAATGAAGCATGCACATATTAGGTAACACAGCCCTGGGATCACAGCTATGCTTTGTGATGTTTCAGGCAACAATCCAAAGTGGCCAGAGGAAAGGGTAGCTAAGATATAAAATTGCATGGAGCAAGGTTACTGGGTGACATGATGCTGAGCCTGTGCTGCAGGAAATGCTAAGTGATGTTATTGACAAAACTGAGGAAGTGAGCACCGCAAAATCACTAAATATGGTTACTATAAAAGTGAAACATGACATAGTAGCCCGGATTATAAATAACAACTGGTACACTTCATAAGAATAATTTTTTATATGGACATATTTTTAATGAATCACATGGGAGCTTAAATTAAATATATACGTACTCACTTGGAACTTCAGTAGCAGACAAATCCATGCCTTGCATCAAATATTTTATGCGGATAAGGGTTGTCTTAAGCACTGCTGCATTTAACCAAACTACCCTAAAATCATCTTGTTGTGTAATACAGGTAATTGGTTCGCTGTTAAAGTCAGCTAGTGCTGATGTTTCAGCAACCTCTTGACAACACAAACATTCTCTGGGTTGGCTCAATGTTGTTGTGGCACAGTTCGAACATTTGCACCACTCCAGGCTCAATAGACGTCAGCAACCTTCCTCGTTGCTGCCACCTGAATTTTTGTCTGAACTTGGATCACTGCTGCTTTTTTCTCCCTCTTCGTACTCTGGTTCAAATCAATATGGAGTCACTGAAAATTCCTCAGCAGACACCATATTGGAAGTCTTCGACACACAGTGACGTCACTAATTCCCATGAAACATTTTGGAAGAAAACATGGCGGTGTGCAGGACATTTTTTATCAAAAATGAACACTTTGCATTTGAATCATGTAATGAAATGTTGATTCAAAACCACTGGAATTGTTAGAGATAGGCATGAAGTATTATTTGACAACAAAACTATTTTTAAGCCGAGGTTCCCTTTAAAGAATAGAAAAAAAATTCACGAAATTTAATACAGTTCAATTCTAATATCCTTTCAAAATCGCAAAATTTAATACTCACAAAATATGGCACTTGACTTTTCGCCAAATTAATACTGGGGAAATTTAGTGAGAATAAGGTAGTATCCGATAGATAGATATTGGACTGGCAGTGGAGCAATCTGATTGGTTGATTTTAGTTACTGTCCCTCTGAATTAACTTAGTCATAATTCATGTACAAATTTAGCAGCTTACCTCCTGATGCAATGTAATATCCACTGGGTGCATATACAGCAACAGTTGCCTCTTTGGCATGTTGACTGTACACATCACAAATTTTTGGATTCTGCATGTACAATAGAGGTTAAAAATTTTACTTTCATGAGCAAATAACAAAGTTCTTTATACATGTACAACAACTCTGCTTAGTTCAAATCACTTGAAACAAAATTAATGAAAAATGTACATGTACTACATGCTTATTGATTAACATACCACAAAGTTCTAATAGTAATTATTAATAGTAATAACAACAATCTTTATTCACACTATTCAGGTACAAAAGGAAGGTAAGACAAAAAAGAAACTATAGAAAACATACTGATAGAGGTTATATAACTATATGTTCAATTTGAGTCAGTGTACAACAGCCAAAGTAGCAAAGCTTTTGAGTTGGCTGCTGCTTATTTACAAATAAAGAAACGAAGGAACGAAGGGAACAAATAATAATTAAGACTAAACTAATTCACAAAGCAAGAAATGAAAATGGGAAGAAAATTTCACATTATCAGGGTTCAAAATTATCAGTAAATTATCAGGGCTCAAAATAATTTTCAGACCGTGGCTGTTCATGTTGCCAAAGAAATCTTAGCTAGGTCATATCCCGTTTCTGACCGCTCAAGTGATGAGGCCTATACACCCAAAAATATCATTTACTTGTACCAGTTGTTGTTGTAGACCATTTAAAAAGTGGCTTAATGTACAGAACAGCTTAAAACTTTACCAAAAATAGCTTTGGCAGGCCTCAGCAGCTCAATGAAGTGGCATGCTGTCAGTGGAATTCTTGCTTGCTGCCATTTTCACAGCAACGCTAGCCTCTGATCTTCGAAATCAAAAACTCGAAAAATGGGGCAGAGCAGAAGCTCAACAGAACAACAATGTCAATTTTGAACATAATCCTTTTTTGATCCTTTTTTCATGTTGTTGGACAAAGATTTACAGTGCTGTGTGCAGTACCGTGAACACCCAGACGGTTTTTTGACATTTTTTTGACATATATTTGACGAGTTTGATGCTTGGTAATTGGCAACTGGCCAATCAGGGAGCAGATAATCTTGTAAGGCGGAGTAGATCTCCCAGCGTGACATCCATGACAAAGACCATGGCAACATACCATGTGAAGGTGAAGTACGGGGAGGAAAGATTTAGTACTTTCTTGATCAAGGATATCTCCCTTGCTAAGCTTATGCAGGTGATAAAGCAAAACTGTTCAGCACTTGCACACATACCCACTTCAAACATTCGTGTAAGATATCGCGACGAAGACAGCGATATGATGAATCAGTCGGAAGATCCAGATGATTTTGCTTTCGGAGAGATGCTAAGGAGTGCAAAAGAAGTCAAGGATCGGGACTACGGAAAGATTTTTCTTCAGGCAAGCGAAGTAGACTCGCTGCTGCCGAGAAAACTGAGATGATTGGACGTGGAAATGCCGAGCTCTTCCACTTCTAACAAATTCAAGTCGCTGCAACCAAAGCATTTGTCTTTCACACCAACACCTGGTGCACATCTCGCATCTACAACAGCTCCAAAAAATGCAGAGAAAAGTCCTTTGGACTGCCAGCGACAGGAAATGGGAGAAAATCTTAAGGTTTTGAAAGTACAAGTTACCAGCACAAAAGAAGAATTGGAGAAACTGAACAGTGAATCCAGACATTTTTAGTCGCTTAGTGATATTCGAGCTCGACTCTGTAACAACTGTTGTTACAGTGGTCACACAAAAGTAAAATGCTCAAAACCTCCTTGCACGGACATCGGTGGACGTAAAATCATAGAAAAGCATCCCAAACACAAAACGAAAATTAGCCAACTTCAGTGTGAAATTTGATCTCTGGAAAACAAGGCACAAGAAGAGGA